AATATAAATGTTCAACGGCTGAGTTTTATTCTTAATCTCTATATTAAAAAAGTAATAATTAATTAATAAACATTTGAAGGTGGTTACCTTTTTATATCTTACATTCAAGTCTAACAGATTTAGTCAACAAGATCTACCAATTCAATATCCAAAAATTTAACCTCAATACAACTTTGTTTTATAATACGGCATTATTGGATCTTGAACTGGGGTATGCGATATTTTATAATTAATTAACATATAAATCGTATTAAAGAATTTTTTTTATAACTTATGACTTTTCTGAAATTTATATAGTAATATACATTTTTTTTAAATTACTACTTCTCTTTCATTTTTAATGAAAAAGAAATAATTTTTGCTTAAACTAATAGAGAATAGATTATAGTTTCATGCTTTGGAAGTTTTTTTTTTGATTTTAAAATAGTAAATCACGCAAAAAACTCTTTCTACTGCAATTTTTTAAAAAATTTATATTAAACAAAAGTTTTCTCTCCATATTAGTATTTTATATATTGTCTTATAGAAATATATTAATTTTTTTATAAATGATTAGGTCTTTCTGGAACCTTAGCGATTTTAAAAAAAGCATTTTACTATATAAATTTCGGACAAGTTATAGGTTATAAAAAAACTTTATTACGATTTAATATATGATATACATAAGGTTTGTTAATTATATGACATCGCACACCCCAATCTTGAATGTGGAAATTATTGACCGATTTCATTTAGTTTGATTAAAATGTATATATTGTGTCTAAAGTTGGCATCTGCCTGCAGCTACAACTTTAGAGTACAATACCCAAAATATAATCTAGAAATGTGTGCGTGAGAGTGAAAACCTGAAAGTGAATATTTGGTCCCTAAAAAATTATGACTGGCGTTTTGCATTATTGTCCGGAGGTGTGTTATCTTGTCCGCATCTATTTTTAGATCAGATGATCGTCAATTTATCTAATTCGTCTGTTCTATTTTAGGTAATAGCTAAATAAATAAATTTCTAGCTCCGGACATTTAACAGTGCCTGTTTCCTAGTTTCAGTAATGTTTACTAAACTTTTTAGGGCCAGGTTCCCATACGATTTTACTTATTTGAGTGGGTAACACAAACCAAAAAAGGAAATCGAATTTTGTAAATAAACTAAGTGCATAAAAATAAAAGTTTAGGATTCGGACGTTAGGGTTGTGAGCTTTAGTGATAAGTTGGAGTTTTTTATATGTAAAATTTCATTCCGTTATTTTTTATTAATCTGCCAAGATCGATTTAAATACTAGTTTTTGAATATTTTCACTTTTCTTTTTTCTTTCTTCGCACGTGTTCGGATTCTATGTCGGGCTGATCCGAAATACCCAAAATTTGTGTTCTCTGTTGGCCATTTCCTTTTTAGAGGTTTGTATTACCCGCGCAAATAAGTGGATGCATTTTCACTCTCATGCATTCAAATAGATGTAGAGATAAGTTAGTACAGTACTATCCGTTACGCTTCGGATAATTAAATCTGATTAAGATACGAGACGATTATAATCTCTATAATCCTGTTTTTACTGTGTTAAAGCTATCCAATAATCTATATAGACTGTCGTATGGCTAAATTTAATAGCATTAGTAGTAGTATTTTTAAAATAGACATATAAGTACGTACGTACGCTCATACATTGCAAAAAATTTTCGGAATTTCAAGATTCCAATTCCAAATGCAATCAATTTTATCAATGTCAAATGGGGAGGCTATATTTACGTAATAAATGTTAGTTCCCTTACGAATTTGATTGGTATTTCTACGAAATTGATCGATTATTATACGAATTTGGTCGACAAAACCATTAAGATCAATAAAAAGTGCGTCGTATGTAATCTTTTACTGTTGTCAATAATTAAGAAACATTCGAAATTGGACATTTTTAATTCCTCGTAACGAATACGTAATCAAGTTGCATTTAAAATTATTCGAATTATTCAACAAAGTTAAGGAATATTTGGCTCACAAATAAAATAAAAAAAATATATAAAAAGCCTGCCTCATCATTTTAAATCAGTAATCAAAAAAAAAAAAAAATGCCGAAACATCTAATATTAATAATAATTTTGTTCGTTAATTTTGTTTTGGTTAGTTCTGAAGATACGAACACTACAATTTAAAAACCCATTGATCCAGAAGTTTTAAATCCAAGCAAAGAAGGAGTTGAAAATGTTTTTGATTTAATGATTGTCATCCTTCTTTATTTTGTAGCCGAAAAAATTCCTTTAGGAATTGCAGCTGCAATTTTAAATTTTATATTTCAACTTTTTGTGTGTTTCATGTCTTATTTTTTTCTTATAAGAGCATATGACACAACAAAGGATTATTTTTTTATTCAATATCTTATCATATATTCAGTTTTTATACTAGTTGGCATTTCTAGTCATATTTACCGTGCAATAGTTACAATTTATCATTTACATAAACATAATAATAATAAAAACGCTAAGCAAAACGATGAGGATTCCCAGAGGCATGAGGATATTAAGCCGCGTCAATGTCAATTTAACCATATGCGTTGGATTTTCTATCTCCAAATCACCTTATATACTTCTTTATTTATTGCAAATATGATCTTTTTTATTATAGCTTATTACCATCATTATGTTTATCATTTAGCCTTTCTTGTTATTTTGCTTCCCTCACTTATTTTCATAGTATTCACAATCATTGAAATAATTTATTCTGAAATTTATGGTGAAATAACGGAACTAACCGTTTTAGAAAAACGGGTCAAAGAATTAGAATCTAAAGCATCAAGCTCTTCACAAGTATGTATCAGTGCATCAAAACCTAATTCTTCAAGAAACTGCTGGCAAATTTTTGTAAATTTACATAAGAGTCCAAATAGAAGGATGATGGGTAAGTTAAATTAGTCTATTTGATTTATTTGAATTTAATTTATTTTTATTTATTAATTTTATTTATATATATTTCATATTTACAATAGTAAAAGTAATTGGAATATGTTCATATTTCTTATTTTGTACAATCGCTGCTCCTGATTCATTATGGATAAAAATTTATCTTACATGTGTAGCTATTTATGTCACATTAACTGAAAAATTAGAAAAAAAAGTTATCTTACTGGGAGAATATTAAAGTCTATATTTATAGGATGTATTTTATTTTAGAAAATTTATTAATTTACACTAATTAATTTAGAAATTTGTGTAACATGCTAATCAAATAATTTTTATAAACGAAAAAATAAACCCTCATTTATAGTTAGGGTAAGTGTGGGTTTGGGATTGGGGCGAGGGTTAGTTTATACCAAAATTTTGCGAGTAATTTTTTTTTTGTTAGAAGCCAAAAGGTGGTTTTATAAACGAAAATTCGAGATATCAGTTGGTTTTTTATATGCCTTTATATACCTCGTGTACAAATAGAATTGCCTTATTTTTATATTATATAATACTTTACATTAATTCTAGTCAATTATTCATTTGATTTCTTTATAAATTTTGATTTTTTATTATTATTTTTTTTTTTTTTAATATCGAGCAGAATAAAAATATATCACCATGTCCTGATGTACTGTAATACAAAAATTTTAATTACATGTTGTTCTCGTTATAATGAGATTTCAGTTACAAATAAGGTTAACATATGCCAATGGCGTATGCAAGTAATAAAGGAAGACATTAAGTAAGCACTATATAAGAATTGATTATGACGAAGCCAAGTCCGAAGGTGCTTGAACTGAAAATTCACGCGACCAGCCAACCCGTTCCAAGATAAAGACACGTGATTCTATCATTCCTTCACTTACAGCCGGCTGGCTTCTGCAGGCAGGAATAATCCCACCGGCCACAATAATCCTATGGTGACTCCTATCGCAATTACGATTGCTCTTTTCCGGATGTCATCGCCGTTCTGGCTAGCATGATCAGTCACTTGCTTCCAGCTTAAATTATTTGTCGTCATAGTCTAAATAAATCCAATGTGAATTTGGGTCAAAATCCCTAAAAACAGATTCCTAAAAGAACATAATACCGACAAAGTTAGCCGGCACTAGCTATAATGCTGGTCGATTTAGTAGTGTTATGTTTTTCGGGAATCTGTTTTTCCAAATGAAGATCAATTAGTAAAGATTTTTGTGTAGAAACAATATAATTTCGATAAAATTTAAATATTTTACATTTTTTTTAGATTATAAAAAAAAGGCTCTCCATCGCATTAAGTATGTAATCCACTATGCTTTCATACGAAATTTCCAAATAGATTAATATGTATAATGTTGAGAAGATATATGATAATTTTTTGCAAAAACTGCAATCTTAAAATTGTATCTCCCCAATATTCTACTTATTAAACTATTTAGAAATGGAGTGCTTTTTTTCATACACTGAAAAGTAATGAATTATTACATTCACGATAATATGTAGGTCATATAATGATCAAGATTTTTTATAGTGTACTGTATATCAACGATAATTTAATAGTAAAAACATAGAAAATTCAAGCTGCAATAACTCTTGAACCAGCAAACCCACACAAATAAAGTTATACTTGTTGGGTTCGTTATAATAAGTAATAACGCTATTTTTTTTTTTTTTTTATTGTCTAGAGCGTAGCGGGGGAAATAATATAATACCAAAATTCGTGTTTTTGATTTATTGTTAATAAAAATATCAAAAGCGTAGCTATTGTATATTGTGCCACGATATGCACATAAAATTCGAAGTTACATTTTTTATATTTATATTAGCAATTAATCAAAACCGAAAATATTGGTATTACATTATTCCCCGCTATGCTCCGGACAATAAAAAATATATTTAAAATGAAGAGCATTATTACTTTAAAAAGCACATTTTTTATAACGACCAGACAAATATAATTTTATTTGCGTGTTTGCTGGTTTCTATGTTTTTACTATATTGCACTATGTTTGTAATTAGCCTGATGTGTACAGCCCGACAACGTTTCGTGCGAGTGCATTTGTACTGTAGTTTTTTTTCTTCTTTACTTTACTATTACGGCATTAACCTTATTATTTGATCGGTGCATATTTTATAAAAATCTTTCAATGTCACTAACAGTAATACCGTTGCCACTGCATACAGTCCCGAGAAATTCGGTTTTACGAATACTGCAATCTCATTGGTGGAAAAGGGCACATCATGTGGCAGGATATTGTACCATTTTTAATAGTGCCCAGCATTTGTAGAACCCTAATATAGATATTTAGAGTTTTGATTGCGAAGTTTATTTTCTTACAGTTTGATTAAATGAATAATCATTATTAGATTAATGCCTAAATGCATTAATTTGATCATTAACAATATAACACTGTAATAAAAAGAATAATTAATTTTATTAAAAGTTAGTAAAAAGAAAAAAAAAACAAAATATAATGAATTTAATCGTTTGAAGCATTAAATAGATATTGAAAATTTTTTATAAAAAAAGAACTGAATTAAAATATTATAGTAATATTCGTAGACTTTACTTCAGGGAGAAAGTCTAATTAATTCCTATATCGTAATAGTAAAGGGAATTTATATTAATAGCCTATTTATAAGTATTGTATGGCTTTGCCAACCGCATGGGATATTAGTGATAAATACTCTGTTGAGTGTGGATGTAAATGGACTTAGAGTAAATTATATAGGTGAGAATACAGAATAACTTTATATTTTGTTATCACCACATGAGTATAATAAACATTCTTCATAATTCATAATTAGATACGAGATCTTTTTATAAAAATTTAATGCGACCACATACATATTAACCTGTTAAGGTTTTTTTTTAAATAAAATGTGTGTGACGAAAACAATGAAAACGTTGTAATTTGTGCGGATAACCCAATTCCGTTAAAATGCGAATTATTTTACCTTGAAATTGATATCATACACTTAAATAAAGAAAAGGAGTAAGGCGCAAATCTCTTGCGATTTGTCATACAGTAAATGAGATTAGATTCTTTATTAATTCATTTAATCTTTTTTTGAAAGTATTATTGCAATTGGATTTTGCTCAAATTTGGCTAAACTAAATAAGATGACCAGTAACTACATGCTTTTTTAGTTATCAAATATTTATTATTAAATATTCTTATCATTGCTTAAATCTTCATAGGGTGCGAATCTCATTCATGGAATTAGCTCTATCAAACTATTACTATATTTAGATATGCAAAATAATTTTAAATAAATTAATCTGCTTAAAAACAATTAATACCATATAAAGTAAAATTAACAAAACATGCATAATGTGAATATCTATTGTTATATAGAAGAAATTCAAAATTATATGTAATTGGGATTTTGAATAAACAAATTTTATACAATCTAAAGTAATTGATATATAAGGATTTTAAATTAACCTAATTAAAGAAAATTTTTACCTTTAATACAAATTTGGAAAAAATAAATTATTTCAAATTAATTTGTATAGTTGCAATTTAATATGACTATGTAATACAAAAATTAAAGTCTAACTATAATCATTAGAAATTATGACTAGTAATACTTAATTATAATTATTAAAATTAATTCAAATTGAATTGAATTAATTTGATTTAAAGTTGTTTAAATATATATTATCCCTTAAATTGTAATACAAACAAATTTGCTTGCATTTTTATTAAAAATTTTAATTTTTTTAATAAAATCTTAAATATTATTTTAGCTATATATTTTTTAAATAAAATATTTAATTTTAGATTTGTTTTATTAGCTTCATTAAAAAAATTTTTTAAAATTATTAAAAAATTTTAACATAATAAGGTTAAAGTTCTTGTATTGAACTTTTTACTATATAATTTTTTCTTTAGATTTTATATGTTTTTTACCTATAAAAATTTTTTTGCTTTTAAGTAAAGTTTTAATTTTGATTAGTAAATTACTAAAAGTATAATAATGAAAGTTGTAATCCTAAAACTATAGATTTAAAATTAATATTTAAAGAGTTTGTTAAAAATTTATAAATAATTTTTTTAATTAAAAGTTTTTTCTAAACTTGTCTATTTTTAGCTTATAAACAATCTAAACTTTTTTACTTGTACTATAAAAATTAATTTTGCAAAAAAGTAATTCTTATTTACAATTATAATTGTGCAAAGTTTTTTATTTAAATATTTTAATATTTTAAAAAAATAGATTAGAGCTAAAAAAAGTGCAAAAATGCAGACAAATTTGTCTGCGTTAGCTTACATATTAAGAGATACAAAAAATATTTTCTAGTAAATTTATATTTTTGCAAAATTAAAGTAATAAATAAATAAATTGAGCAAATTAAATTAGAATAAATCTATATAGTTTAAGCTTATATTAAAATAATTCAAAATATTTCAATTTTAAATAAATATAAATAATAGATTTTAATATTATATTAAATAATGAATTTTTTATATAAATGATAAATAAATTAATTTAAATATCTTAGTATAAATTAATATATTTTGCACTATTAGATTTAGCTTAATTAAATATAGTATTAAACAAATAGATAAAATATTGTATTTATTAATTTAAAGTGTAGTATATAAAAAAATCTTGATTATAATACAGTCGTCCTCCTCTACAGTCACCTCTTATATGATCACACTCTCTTTATAAGCACTATTTTTTTAAAAATTAATAGCAATATATTTATTAAAAAAACTCTATATAATCACATTATTATTAAAATTTTATAATTATATATTTTTTATATAAAACAAACAGTGTGATTATAGAGGAGAATGACTGTAATTGATTTTCTAAAAATAAAAAATTCTCTTATTATTAACTTTTATTTGGTTTAAATTAATGTTTATAAACAATTTCTTTAATATATATAGATATTAATTATTGAAAATTGGTTATATTATTCTTGAAAATTTCAAAATATACAAATTTATTGCATATTAATTAAGCTTCTTAAAATATTAATATTGTTTAAAAGAAAAATAGATTATTAGTACAGTTATATTTAATATTTTAAATTAAATCAAAATTATTCAAAATTAATTAAATTTATTTAAAATAACTAATGAAACTTTAAATCCAAGATGGTATTTTAATAAATAAAAAGCAAAAAATATTAATAAATCTATTTAATAAAATTAAATAAAAAATAAAAAATTTAAAATATTGCAAAATAAACTGAAATTTTTAATATAATAAATCAAAATTAATTAATAGTTTAATTAGAGAATTGCTATTTCCACCCCTCATTTTTGCTAATGCCACCCCCTAAATTTTAAAAAAATGCTTCAGAAGAGGCATTATTATTAAGAAAATTCTCTTTTTGATCTTAATAAAAGTTGTTTATCAGGCCTTTCTGGTTCTAATAGTAGTAAAATTATTAAAATTGGACTAATAAATTTTTTTAAAAAGCAAATAAAATTTAATTAATTTTGGATATATACATCTTAAAGACTACTAGCCTGAATATAATTATTTTACTACTATTAGAACCAGAAAGGCCTGATTAACTACTTTTATTAAGACTAAAAGAAGAATTTACTTAATAAAAAATATCTATTTTGAAGCACCTTTTGACTTTTAGGAGGTGGTATTAGCAAAAATGGGTGTGAAAATAGCAATTCCCTTTAATTAATTTTAAATTATTTAAATTGTTTTAAACTAATTAAATATTAATATATTATTAATTACTTTGTAATTTTTCTATTTATCTTATTTGATATATTAAATATATTAATCTAAATAATTTAAACTATTTTAATTTATATTAATTATATTAATTTATTTTTTAATTTAAATTTATAAAATATTAAATATTTTTTAATATTATTAATACTTATTTATATTTGATAAATTTATATATTTTAATTAATTTTATCTAATTTGATATAATTCAAATTAATTTAATTAATTTATTAATATCTTAGTTTTAATTTATCTATTTCAAAATTTTGTGAAATATTTTTTCTTTTTTTTTAATTTTAAAAGATGAGGCCTTGCTTACATCTTTATTAAGTAATTTATATAAGTAGATATATAGAAACTAAATGAAAACTTAATTTATATACAAATGAATAAATATAAACTACATATATGAAAAAAAGCTCAGACTAATTATTTATTTGCAATCTAAATCTACTAGAGTGGTTAAGACTTATCTAGATTTGAATAGTTAAAATAAAGTTAGTGGAGATACTATACTGGGCCCACATAGTAGCCCAGATATTAAATTTACAATTTGCAAGTCCAGCAGGTAGGCAAGAATTAGAATCAGAGTATAGTTGATTAAATAAATTGCAGGAGCAATTTTATATAAATATATTATGAGTTATAGAATGAGAACAGAAGAGAGATTTTTGATGGAGTTAAGTAGAAACAAAAGTTTGAAAATATTTGATATGCTTTTTTCCAAGTAAAAAAGTTAATACAGTATGATTTCCAAATTTGATTGTAAAGTTGGTTAGAGATTTTGATAAGAACTTGGATAATAATTTAAGAGGCAATAGAGTATAAAATATCAAATAGTAATATGTATTGAATAAAAGAAGTAGGAATGAAACCTCTAAGGGTCGAGTAAAAAAAGTATAGATAAAGTGGTAAGAGGTAAAGAGAGAAGGAAAGATGAGAAGAGATTGTATGTATAAGGTAGTTTAATTCATAGTGAGAAAGGTTGAGGTTAAAATTAGAAATAGTTTCAGAAATAGAAGAGTGAATAATCTGTAATAAAAGGTTATAATTGGAGCAGGTATACCAATAAGTAGAGGATTTAGCAAATTGCATTGGAACTAATAAAAGAATAGAAATATGTTAGATGATATAGAATGAAAGTATAAATAAGTAGACAATTGATAAATAGCATTTTAATTTTAAAAGATTTGAGATGAGTAAGCTTGGGATTAGTAAAGTTATATAATCTTTTTTGATTATTATTGAAATAAAGCCAGATAGAGTTCCAGTTTATAATATTAGAGAAGTAAGACTATTCAGAGGCATGGTTTTGTAAAGACTATATAGAAATAGTTTTTACTTTGCAGATATTTTTAATAAATTGTCTAGTAGGGCTATTGATAAAGAAGTTTTTCTATTAAAGAAAGAAGTATGAGTTGTGAATATTAGAATAGTTAAATAGCAAGATAGGAGATGATACATGATTATTAGCAAGATAATCTGCTAAATTATTAAAGGTATTATTAGCATGGATTGTAAAATATCTTTTTTTTTTTTTAATATTTAAAGTAAGATCTTGCTCTTATCTTTATTAAAATTGTGAAATATCTTATATATATAATATTTCATAATATCTTATATAATATTTCGTAATTTTATATTTTGCTATATTTTGCAATATTTATATAATATTACACCTTTTTTATAGTTTGTAAATTATTTTATAATATTATACTCTATTAAATTTGCTAATATAATAAGTTAAACTTATATTAGATATAATAAACAAGTATATTTTAATCAGAAAGTTTAAATAGATAACCCTGTAGTTGTGTTGCAAATATAGTAGATAGTGTAGAACCTTTGAGCAAACTATTTAAATTAGATACCAAAAGTGTATATATAACTTGATATACTTTTATCATAATATATAATATTTATATTTACTTAATAAAATCTTACTGTTCTCTTTAAAAAAAAATAATAATAATAATTTTAAAATAGTAGTTATACTTTAGCAAAAACAACTATAAATAATAAACTTGCAGAATATTCTTAAAATAAATAATTAAAACAATTCTTATCTAAGCCTAAGTTTATATTTGTATTTAATTTTTAAAGTTTTTTATTAGTACTATTTTTTCAAAAAAAGATAACCAAATTATTAAAGTTAAATAACAATACTAGTATAATAATTAAAAAAAGATCAATAAAGTATTAGGTACAAATTAATAGATCAATTGTATAATTATTTGTATTACATAATTAGTCTATCTAGCAGATATAGAGATTTAGCAAAAGTAGCATAATAGGTAGATTTATTATAAATGATAGAATTGATTAAAATAGTATATATAAAATAACTAGCATAATTAGTGAATATAGCATATAATAAAGATATATAATTAGTATAAAAGTAGAAGTATTTATTAAGTTATAAGGTGTTTTACAAATATCTTAATTAATAAACTACATATTTGAATCTGCCAAATCAAATATCCTCTTTTGAGAGATTATAGTATTATTATCAAATGTTATACACTCTTTTCTAGTTTACCCTACCAAGTAAAGATTTTTAAGATATATATTCCTTTTGTTATTATACTAGTATTTTTTTTTATAATTTTTATATATATAGTCAACTCTCTATAAATACACTCTCTTAAAACTAAATACAAGTATGTATTTAAAAAGAGTATGCATTTATAAATATATATAAATTTATATAGTATTAATATAAAATTAAAGTGATACAAAAATTTTATAAGTAGTTGGGATCCTGTGGCCTAGTAGTCTAAATACCCAACTCTCTATAAGCGGGTTTTAGGTTCAAGTCCTAGTAGATGTAGATTCTACAAATATTTAAATATACTTACTATAGAAAGTTCAAGTGAATACAAGTTTAGATTAGAAATTTCCAGAAGGAGATTCATTGTAAAGAAGTTGGCACTATATATAACTATAGTTGTTACAAAAGATTCTATTATACAATAGTTGTATACATAAATTTGAAATTAATATAGATAGCATTAACAACTCTAAGGTAGTATTGAAATCTTGTTTAGGAGGATAACTAGGCAATAACTAGAATTGAAGTAGTGAAAAAAGTGGTAAATACAAAGAGATCTGTGGTAAAGAAGTGGCCTTACCAGATTTGGAACACCTCTAGCACTATGTAGAATTACTTACCAAAAAGAGGCCAAAGCATGAAGGTGTGTATACATCAAAAACCAACAGAGCTCTGGGTGTACCCATATAGGAGTCTTCAGATATTATGAGGGCCTGGAGTCACCAAAACTAGTGTAGCTAATACAAGTATATACAGTATATAACTGGAGACTACAACTGCTAAGAATTATTATAAAAAGAAATAATGATATACTTGTTATAAACTTCTAAGCCTCATGATACTATTTAACTATAAAAGTGCAGAGTAACCTGTTACAAAATATGCCTAGGCATCTTACTATTATAGAGAGAATATAGCTATTTGTATAATTACTAAATTTGATATGTTATGACCTGGGTTCTAAAAGTCACAAGAAAGTTAGCAGTTGTGGCAGCATGCAGACTTGAGATACTTACCCAATATAATAGATGTAGCTGCATGATAGCTTAAGATATAAACCCCTAACAAGTATATTAAGTAGAGATACAAACTAGATACACCAAATTAGAAGCAAAAAGTGCCTATCTGAAGCATTAATACACCAATTTGAAAGTTGAGATAGTAAATAAAGTAGGTAAAGCAAAAAACATGTGGAAGTTAATTGGAAGTGAGTAAAGATATACAAAATTTATATTAATTATATATATGGGAATGTTGATGGCTCTAGTGGGTTTTAGCTATAGATAAATATCGTAATTGTGCGTATACAAGATCCCCTAAAATAGTAGACCTACTATGAATCAGACCTGGGTCTATAATACAGGTAAAGATTTTGGTGGAATGTAGTAGACCCAGGTATATTATAAGAAATAATAATTAAAAGACCTGGGTATAATATAAAGAATAGATATATTAAAAAACCCGGGTATGATATTAGAAAATTTATTTATATCAAATTTAATATTGAAGCTTATATTTTAAAATAGCGATATAGATATAAAACAAAAAATTACATTAAATTTTCTATGCGTAAACTAATCTAAGGTGCAAAGAAATTCTTTATATTCGCTCATAATTCACATCTTTTTAATGTAAATTCATTTATATAAATGTTTAAATATGCAAGAGATTTTTCATACTGTACATTATATAAGTTTCTTTATACACCTTGATGACAGTGTATTATTTGATTCAATGTCATTGAGTACAAGTAACTTTTTAAGTTTGTAACATTCGACATGTCGAATGGCACTATTCAAATGCCATTCGATATATCATTCAGTATGCTATTTAACTCTATTACATGATTTCACGAGCATTCAAGTTGAATAGCACACTGAATAGCATGGCGAATGGCATTCGAATAGTGCCATTTGACATGTCAAATTTTTAATTTTCTACCAGTGTAAGAGAAGTGATTTTTGGAGAAATAATTATCAGAATGAATGTATAAAGCAAAGTAATTGTAAAAACAAGTTATTGTAGGAATGATGAGAAATATTAATATTGAAATTGTTATGTAATCGATTTTAAAATTATTCAGTTCAATTCTAATTATTTATTTATATTTTGCAAGTGAATTTATACATGTCATTACTTGGTATTTAAAGATTCTCTATAACCTATCTTATAACAAATTGTTTCTATACATTATTTGCCTATATCTTAAATTTGCAAGCGATCTGATTATATCCAATGCATTATTTTTCATTTTGTATTACTGTATTATGATTTTGAAAGTTTTTAATCTCACAAATTATTATAGTCGGCTACTTCATCATCATAATATGTATCTACTTTATCATCGAAATATGTATCTTTTTCATTCACATTAAATTGCTCATCAGAGTGACTTGAATTATTAACGTTTCTTTCATTTCAACCTTTGTTCCAATCTTTATTCGGATATTTGCTTCTATCTTCATTTCAATCTTCATTTGGATATTCACTTCTATCTTCATTCCAATCATCATTTCGACCTTCATTCTCATTATTTTCATTCCAACTATTTTTAATATTATCATTCCAACCATTTTCCTTATCTCTATTCTAATCATCTTCATTCTCAGCTTCATTTGAACTGTTCCTGTTTCTGCTATTTTCACCTTCATATAAATTGTCACCACCTTCTAATAAATCATAATTATAAAATTTATAAAAATGGTTAATATATTTCATTTTCAATAAACAAACCGTATTTCTTAATTATTCTTTACCATCATTATTCATATTTGCATCATCGTTTTGAGTTAAATTAACGATACTTTCATTATCATCAAAATTATCCACATTAGCATACACAAAATTACTTCTTTTATTTTGAGCTTCTAGGCCATTTACCCACTCGTAATTGAACATGACATCCTCTTCAGAACCGTCTTGAGAGGTAGAAATGCTGCAACACTTAAATGATCATTTAATAAGGGTGGTATCAACTTGATCGCATGCTCTTTTTATCTACTTAGCTACTACATTATAGGCAGGATGCTGAATATGACCAGTAGGTGTTAATTTCTTAACTTCTTCTCCCATCCAATCGAGATAATATTTGCGATACTTAATTTTATTGTATAATTATTGTGTAATTATTGTGTAATTATGATGTAATTATTGCATAATTGTGTAATAAAAATCAAAAATTTGATTTAATATGAATACAGTACTATCTTTCCTTTTCTTTAAAAGATTTGTTGATATATACATCTAATGGCTGCAATTTTTTAGTTAGTCTGCCTGGAATTACTGCAATGTTAGTGTTTTTTTCTTTAAATCTGGTTTTAACCGGATCTGTTATATGACCATGAAATGAATCCAAAACAAGTAAAGAATGAGAATTAACGGACAAAGGAGCATGACGGTTCCAAATATTTTCTGTCCAAAAAATCATCTCATCAGAATTCATGTAGCCTTCTGGATTAGCTCTTACAATAATACCTTGAGGAAATATTTGTCGAGGTACATTTATTAACTTAAAAATTACCATAGAAACCAATTTGGTTCCATCAGTCAAACAATCTAAAACAACTGTGAAATTGGACTTTTCGTATCCAGTTGTACAGATTGAAACAGTATGAGCACCCATTTCTTCGACAGTATAATTGCTAGATACATCAAATGCTAATGGAGTCTCATCTATATTTCCAATAAGTGAAAGAGGATAATTGTAAAGCATACGATGATATAGTATATTAATTAAAAATTCATCCCTTAGAGGTTCTAAATCCTCTGGCAATTTTTGTGCTACAGTAATACGCCTCTGATTGCTAAATTTATTACAATGCATAAAGCCCTCTACCCACTTTTCGTCCCACTTGCATTCATTGATTGTTGAATAAAGTGAAACAAAATGTGGCTGACTTGCAAGTTGTTTAGCTTTTGTTCTAATCATTTGTCTAGACACGATTTTTTGTTGGAAATGTAAAGATTTAACCCAATTTTTAATATCAACTTCTAAAAGCAGATACTTAGAACGCACACCAATATTTGACCATTTTACATAAGGTAGAACATTTTTTAATTCAATTTTTTTCTTAATCCACTCATGTAATTGTTTTGGTGTTATATTAAATTGTGTTGCGACACTTCGTTTACTAACCATGGAATTTTTTTTCAAAGTATGTAACAATTGCTAATCTCTCATGTGCATTCCAGCTTCTTTTTTTTTTTTAGTAACTTTCGTTTGCTTTTCTTTTGTTTTATTTTGTCTTATATTATTACTAAAAATATAAAAATTAAAAATATTATATAATATAATTATGCACAAATAAAATTTTAATTACCTTATCGCTAAAAAAACTTGATTTATTCAAGACATGACAGGATTAAAAAAAACATGAAAATCTTTTTAAATTATACATAGAAAATAAAGTTTACACATGTTAATTATATTAATAAATCAATTACCCGTATGTATAAAATGGCAGTACTGGTACCTCATAGATCCTCATAAAATCGTTAACTAATATTCACCAATTTTGCTATTATTCTTTTGCATTTTCATGAAATGCATTTTTATTATTCTGGTATTAGCTCTCTTAATATTTAACAATAAAATAATAATAGTTAATAGACATCAGGACCATTGTCCTAACATCGCTTGTGAAGTTTAATATATTGAGACAGTATATCTTTCGATGGCTCTTCTTTTTTTCTTTAGGATATAAAACAAATTATGAATTAGATCAAAGAATTGAAATGACTGATTTCTGCTTGATGGTTATTTCAAAGTTGTAGACATCAGATTCCTTATTACGCTTATATTTAGGGTTAATAAAGTATTTTAGGTTCGATGTATGCCAGCATTTCATGAAAAATTGAATTTGAAGCCATGGATGTCTTATTTATCTGTTTTGTAGTCCAAAATCTGCGATATTTATCTTTTTTGATGAGTATTGTAACTGCGTTGTGCGTCTATTTAAATGATTTGACATGTGTAAGTTTCTATGCTTTTAGTACATCTTCGCATATAAAAACATTTGGTTGGCATAACACATACTGGTATTTATTTACTAAACCATCGCTGAGATTATTCACTTTACTTCATGATTTGCCACTGTATCTGATAGATAAGTTTATTTAACATCTACCGTATTTCACCGTTCCAATGGTATTTGTATTGTGTTACTAGACCCCCGTGCATAAAAGCCCCACCTGCATAAAAACCTCACCCGCATAAAAACCTCACCCGATTATCAGACCAATGTCTGTACAACAGACCCCGGGTCTATTAAAGGTTTTAAAATTGGTGGAATGTACCAGACCCGGGTCTTTTATACGCACAATTACGGTACGTTTGATTTCATAAAATTAAATGTATTTAAATAAAATTCTTGCGAATTTGATAAAGAACAATGTCAGTTGATAATTTAGATAGTTCGCATTAGTAGTTATTGCATTCATTTCATAATACACATTCACAACGTCTGGTGCAGAACGTATAACGTGAATAGATCTTAGTTTTGCAGTTTGTTCTGTTGCAACTGCAGTTCCTTTGAATTCCTTTTTTTTTTTTTTTTTTTTTTTTTTTTTTTACTTGTACAGTCAATTGTTCCTGAATCGTTGTATTATCTTAATCGTGTGGCAGTGGTCTTGTCAAATTTTGCAGTGTCGCAGTATTTTTTAGGAAGATAAAAGTGCCAAGTAAAAATAATATTGAATATTACCATATTCCATATCCTGATGAACTTGACAAGTTATGGTATAAAAATCTGAATTTTAATTTTTAATTTTTAATTCTTCAATATTTTAAACTTTAACTACCGTAAAAGTATAACAAATCTCAATACTTTGACTTTGGATCCATGTGTACTTGCCGATTTTCGCAAAACGTTAACCCATGATTATATTTTGAATGAATCATATGTCTTTTATTTTTCCGATATTACATATGTTAATTTAAAATCAACATAAATCATAAACTGACGTATAACATGCATATTGTTCGAGCAATTAGAGAGAATTAACTTAAATCCACAATATTGTGAGTTTATTAGCAAATCCATTATACCAAGCAAAATTTATATGGTGAGATCTGAGCTTTGATCAGATTTTACTTAGTCACTGTTATATCAAAAGTCCGTTATATCAATAGTCACTGTGTATAGAAATTTTAATATATGGCTGTTATCAATAGAATTAAGCAGATAATATTCTAAAAAAAAAAAAAAAAAATCAATGTCTTAACTTTCACAGCTCTATGCCATAAATCTTCTCATATAAATAATCTAAAATAAAGTCAATTTGTTTTTTAAAATAAAAAATACTGG